TAAGCTTTTTTTTAAATCAATAAAAATCATATGTACATCCTCAAACATCTCAATAAATGTATAACTTCCATAGTAGACCTGCCCGACATAAATCCAAATAGATTATGGGAAATCTTTGTAAAACATCTTAACCTATGTTCAATTAACCTCTCCCATAATTTTAAAATATGAGACATCAACTTAATTCTTCTATAATTTTAACACTCGTGTATGTCCCCTTAATTCTTAAAATTGGGGACTATAATACTTTTCCTTCACTCCTCAGACATCTTTTTAGTCTTTAAAATAATATTAAAGAATTTAGTAAGCCAAGAAACTCCCAAATTTCATATATATTTCCATCAGATCCTACAGGCTTACCACTCTTAGTTTTCTTTAAAGACTCATCAACTTCTTTTTTTACTAATACGACGGTAAAAATGAAACATTTTATTATTGTTAACGACATTAAGATCACTAAGGTCGGTCGTATTTTCAAAAACTTCATTAAAAAAATTTATCAAAATAATTCACCCACATATGTTAAATATCTTTCTCTAAGAAAAGTACCTTTTGATTTTTATCATTAATACATTTTACTCGAGTAGAATTTTTACTTTTCTTTTCTCTTTGCTTGACTAGTTTATACATATATTTTTCTCACTCTTTAGTATCTAATCTAATATAAAAATCACTAAAAAAAGAATTTTTAGCATCACAAATTATTCTCTTAAACTCCCTACGGGGTCATTCTATATGTTTTTTAGTTCTCTAAACTTTTACATTTAAACCAATTTTTATAACATAATGTCTTATATGTTATCTTTTCGTGCGCATTATTATTTTACCACCAACTATTTTTATTTATAGAAACTTTTTTTTAATTCTCCAAGTACATCTTTTGTTGTTTATTTAATAGAGTTTGTTATTTTATCCCACATAGAATTTGCATCTTTATGAACACCTCAAATTTTAAAATCTTGAAGTTTACTCATAAAATAATTTTATTTGTTTTTTAGGATCTCTTATCTAATTCTACGACAATGATTCTTAATATTCTTTATTTTACAACTCATTTTAAAATCTATAAAGAATAGTCAATGTTAAGCACTTAAATTCTCACTTGGAATGACCTTACAATCTTAACATTCTCGATAATCTCCTCCTCCCATAAGAAAATAATCAATTTGTGTTTTATTAGATCCATTCTTATAGGTAATAATATGCTTCTCTTTTCTTGAATAAAGTATTAGCAATAACAAAAACATATGCTAAAGTAAAATCTAAGATGGTTCTACCTTCTTCATTAATTACTCCAAAATTGTAGCTACCATTAATATTTTTAAAATCTTCTACCAATCTACCAACATGTTCATTTAAATCTCCTCCAATAAAAAATCTTTCATCAAGAGATATTATTTGTATTAAGTCTTCTAGGTCATTCCAGAATTTTTCTTTAGAGTCTATAATATAAACCTACTTGAGAAACATAACCACTTATAATATTAAAAATCTTAGTATTAACAATAATCTTAAGAGATATAATCCTATCTTCAATTCTATTAATTTTTACAACATTATCTTTCAAAATCTTATCTATAATAACACCTACACAATTTCTAGTGCGACTCTTACTTAAATACCAAAGTTTAAAACCTAAGTTAACAATCTCCTTAGCCTTTTATCCAACACATTTAGTTTCTTGAATACATAAGATATTTATCTTTCTATGAATCATAATATCAACTAATTTCATTAAGAGTACTTATACTCCAAGATCTTATCCTAATTTTAGTTTCATGGACTAACTTCTCTACTCGCATCTGTCAGTAATGTGAGAACACATGCTTATTTGACACTACACCAGGGCGCCAGTGTAGCGGCCCTTGCACACGGCCCTTGCACACTTTTCAACTACACCAGGGCGCCAGTGTAGCGGCCCTTGCACACTTTTCACTGTATTCAGGTCATACAGCACGTCATTTCTAGGAGACGCCCTAGCATTTACACAATAATCAAAAGGATTCATATCATGATTTTCGACAAATTTTATGTTGGTTATCGACTACCTAACGAAAACCTCCACTTTTCACATCTGAGGCTTAGAAACCGGCAATGGTAGTGTCAGCGAGCTAAAACAAGCATGAAGAAATTCAAAATGTCCACCAGCTCTGCACACAGCGGGAACCTCAAGCCATAATGAATTGTTCGAAGCAAACCAATACTTCATGCTCATAAACAATATTCGGAGTCTCTTTCTTCTTGAGCAATCTCAAGGTCATGACATATTCTGATAGAAAATTAGATTGAGCTTCTGCTAGCAATTCATCGTCTGTCGAAACACTTATCTGTTACCTTAGCGAAGAAAGTAAGGCGTACGAACCCCACTCCTCCATCCCTGACGCCATCTCAAATATTACAAGATGAAAAATACGACAAAGCGGGAAGCGCTCTGAAGAAATAAAAAATAAAAAGCAAAACTACTCTTACCCCTTATTTCCCTAGATATATAAGAAATACAACCCTCTGATGCGGACTAAAGAAAAACTATAAACTATAGAATATAAAAATGTTGGTACCGCATTTTGAGGCATCCAGACAGCCGAAGACAACATTTAGATATCAAATATTTCGCTTCAAAAATGAAAGTTTCTACGAGTAAAAATTCAAAGTTGAAAAATAAGGATTTCAACAAAATATTAACTACATGATTATGCATAGCAAAGATACAAATCAGTCCTCCTGATATCATCTATTACAATAACTTCAGCACTAAGAAGCTGTCAAAGTAATAGGCAGTCGGCAGCCACAAAATTATTAGGATTGCCCAACTCAAGGTGTTGTGGAACAAACAACAATTCATCCTCGACGGTCTCCATCCTTAAGCGGATGTCAGCAAATTCTTCTTTGTGTTGTCGGGAAAAAGCCAAATTGGCCTCCACAGACTACACTCTCCTGCGAACTTTGGTAAGATCCTCCTTGAGTTTAGTCATTCACTCTTGCGCCTTTAAATCAGTAACTAGTTCTTTAGCTTCCAAAATAGCAACATGTCCTCGCACGTCCCATGAGTTCACCCTCTAGCATTGTCATATGGTCGGACAAAGTATGTCGAAAATCTGGGTGGGGGATGAAACCGGTTACGGGATTGGGCTCTGGTGCAACCCCTACTGTCAAAGTTGGAAGCCTCTAGGTAGTTGAATTTGTCATCTCTTCGACAAACTAAACATTAACAAAGTGAGCAACACTAGATGGGGCCATGACTTCAGTAATGCCCATCTCGGAGACCTCAATGATTTGATGGATTGGAATCTTTAAAAGCAACAAATCAAATTCATCAAGGAAAGAAACATTGGTACATTACCCTTCGAGAACGGACCAGCACTTTTCTGACCCATAGCTTTGCCCACAACAACATGAATTTTAAAGGGATCTCCCATTTTTGTAAAAGATCTCCAAACGTCATTCTCATAGAAGGTTCTTGCTCCCCCGCCTCATCTGCATTACCACAACAAACTTTTGAGACATTGCCACAAAAAACATTACTCGAAGGCTTAGAAAGACAAACATTGTCACCGACGAAGTCAAGCCAGACAAAAATCGCCGCACAGGTTTCCTCTTGTTCCTCAATCACATCGAGAAGTAGAGCCTCCACCGGATTATTCAAAGCAATGGAAATCTTTGTTGATGAGGAAGATTCAAATAGAGGGGATGAAACTTCATCCGCCAAACCAGCCCTCTGAAGTGCTACAGTAAAGGGATCCAAAGAGCTCGCAACTTTTATTTATATAATAATATATTATAAATATTTATATGTATGTTTAAATCATAACAGTTCATGTAGTCTTGTGAATTTACACTTTCTATTACACACTGTTGGTGCAAGTTCGAATCTAACACCCTACATCTATTCTTTTTGATAAACTTTAATGAGCCGATTTAAAGCCGAACACAAACAAGAATATTTAAATCAAGTAAAACACAAACACATTGTTCATGAGACGATTTCAAACACAAGCAATTTCGAACGAGCCAAACATGAGCCAAGCCTGAGCTCGCTCAATCTCAGCTCGTTTACAGCACGACCTGCTGAAATGATCGAACTGAGCCCACCTACCAAAGTGACTAAACTGAGCACAACCGTCGAAGTGGTTGACCTTGTCTCTTTCACCACTAGAAAGATATAACTGCTAAAGATGATCATGATTACCAGCAATACGTATGTCCATCAATTTTTGAAAATGTTGCCAAACATCCACATCACAGTTACCATCGCTGGAAATCATGCAATACTAAAGATAACTTTATTATTTTTCCTCGTATAAAAGAAAAGACAAGCTAAGAGATATGAGGTTCCCCTTCTCTAAAAAAAAGTGTAGCTCTAAAAGCCTACGACAAGCCCAATATTTTGGCATACCGGTGACCTGAGTTCAATAGATAATCTTTGAGACATCTTTCGGGCCATACACCCATCTCTTTCTTCCACCTTTTTTTTGTAAAAAACTGAAATTTTATTAGTTTGTATGTACTCATGAACGATACAGGACCCTAGTCCTAAAACAATTCAACAATAAGGTTAAAATTTCCTTTACATTGCTCTTTTAAATTTTTTATAAATTACAAATTAAATATTTCTAGACTAAATTTTATAACATAAACACAATGCTTTGAATCAAAATATTTCATTATATTTTCTGATTAATTTAAATTGACTAATTTATTCTAACTTCATTAAAGTTAGGATTTAATTTTTCATATCTCACAAGTATTAAAATATAGAAAGCAATATTTATCATTTAATAAAATTCTAACCTTCAAGTTTCATCACTTAAATCCTATTTTTTTCTGTTTTATTTACATGCCTTACTATTGTTCTACTCCTTCCTACATATAACACTCAGAACCATCTCCAACTCTTAGTCTGTTCCTCCTATCCAAACCAAAACCTTAACGAAGTTTCCTTAAAAATAAAAGCTACCTAGGCCTTATCAATTCAAACAAATATAAACATGAATCAACTTTACCTATTTCCGAGTTCCGATAGCGCTTAAATCAGCTCTTCGCTTGAAACCGCTGCCAGCACCATGCAGAAAGAGCATTCTCACCCAAAACTAGACAAGTATTTAGTCGCCGCACCCGAACCCGTTCCATTACCCGCTCGAGCTTCCCTCGCAATTCACTCTCTTGCCGCCGCCCGATCGCTCTCAAACGCGCTATCGTCTTGTACCTGCATCGCCCTCTCCGGCTCTGATGCGCAGCATTCCACGACGGCTCGTCTTACTGGACATTTGTTAGCTCAATAGAAAAACATCCATCAGTTAACCATACATTTGTATCTACTTTTCTTAATATTAAAAGAAATTTATTTAAATCCTCTTCTTTAAATAAACGGGAAGATTTACAAGCATGCCACTTCATTCCTTGTATTTACATATTTATCATCTAAACTTCAAGTTTTATACATGTAACCTCACTGATAGAAAAAAATGTGTGAATTTCAACCCTTTGTTGAATAAAGGTAAGAAAATAAAATTTAGGAGTTAAATATGTAAAAAATGGGTGATATGTATGTAAAAGAAAGGTAAGAAAATAAAATTTAAATATGTAAAAAATGGGTGATATGTATGTAAAAGGCTCGGTTAGCTTTGAATGCCATTTAATAAGAAAATGTTTGATTAATTACAATATTTATTATCTGAGTTATTAGGCTGACCAACTTGCTCGATAGGACTAAGTGGGTATTCGATGCATTTATTGTTTATTGAGCCAAGCATGAACATGGTCGATGGAGGCAACATTTGCCAAATGAGTGTCATGTCGTTATAGGAGCCTGAAAATTACCCATCTTAGTTCTATTTAAAGAGCATCTTCGCAACGACACATTTGATTTTTTTTTTTTTTTTTTGGTTAGAAAATGAGAGCCAGCCCTGCTATTATTAAAATGGAAACAGAGAATTGCAAAGCCGTGAAACAATACACAAAAAACGTATCTAAAATGGAAAATGACAATCAAGATAAAAATTAAAAAAAAGGAGTCAATATAACAAAAAATCAAGAGGAAATCCAACATGAAACCAATGAGCGGGCATAGCAACCAGTAAAATGTTGAAAGTGTTTGGTAGGAGCGATTATTACGTGCGGACACCAATTTACGTCAGGTGTCCAATCTGGGATACATCTTTTTGTTTTTTTTTTGTTATTAGAATGGGACCCACTCAATTTTTTTTGATGGTCCAGATCGGACACCTGACGCAACTGACGTCCGCACGCAATAATTTTTCCTCAACAGACAGAGGTCTTTAAAATGACCGGCCAGTATGGGAAAATAGTGTGGCCTAATCTGAAGCTGTCATTAAACAAACTCAACATTCAGCACATCCATCAAAACAGTAGGATCATTATGCTTACAAATCCTATATTTTCTCTCTTACTAAATGTAATAAACAGTAATATGAATGGTCAAAAGATAAATCTTTTAGAAATTTTACAAGTGATATTCTCAAAATGATAAAAATTTTAATGCGCATTACTAGGAGCAGCAAAGAAATTTCTATTGTGAATGCAGCAGTTAAACAAAGCATGGTAATCAGAATATTAAAAAATAGGTGATTATGAGATTCCAAACTATCCGTACAGACGAAGTTGTTCAGATAAACTGAGATGCTGCTAGTAATAAGAACATCAAAGATTTTAAGACCTTCATGCATAAACTAATGAATATGAAAAGCAAACTCAATAGCATAGTCTTTAAACCACATGAACTTACTCTAGTCATAATAAGAAAATAATATACAGCTTTATGAGAATAACAATTCAAAAAATAAATGCACTTGCATATGTTTTGAATATATATATATATATATATATATATATATTCAAAACATATCCAAGTGCATTTGATTTTTTATTTTTAATCTAAACAATATTTATACATGAAATAATATGGTTCATCATAATAATCAATTTTTTTAATTTTCTATTTCACTTATTATTACAATTTATTAGTATGATTAATAAGGCTCTAAGATTAGAAGATTCTAGCAATCAGCAATGAGAGCATTGTTACTTGATCAGAAGACGGTGAAGTTGGACTCAAATTGCTTAGTTGTTTGTTATTTCACCCTTTAAATCAATGCTCGTCAAATCTAGTTCCAAACAATAATTTGTCAATGCTAAACACGGAGGTCAATTGCAAGTTAAATCTTTTTTCTTTGATCAAGCTTGTTCTTCCATCATATTTTATTTCATATTTACCAAAGTAAGAAAATTTATTTTCTCCTTCTAAGACTGGCGGTTTTTGAGAGAGCTCTACTAGGGTTTCAAGGTTTTTCTAATTTTTTTTCCTTTCTCGATTGAAAAATTTTAGCGATCATTTCCTCCAATAGTCTGTTGACATCTTTTTTTTTTTTTTTAGGGGCTTCGCCCCTTTAATTTGTCATGAATTCATCTTCCTTTCCTCTTACTTCTTCTTCTTCTCGTTAGTTGCTTGATCATAACCCTTATCTCAACTGAAAAGGATTTATTTTGTCTCATCTCTCTAACTCCTCTAACTTTAACATTTCTTACATTTCTCATTCAGAATATAAAGTTTGTTTCTTGAATCAAGAAATCAATGATAGCTCTAAACAATGAAATTTTACATTGGTTAATTGTGAATTTATGAAAAAAAAATATCATTCTATCGTAACTTGAAGTTATTAGCAAAGATCTAGAAGCTCAAAAGTGATATTGATCTTGTCTCTTTTTCCTTTTCAAATTTTACCGTGTTGAGGATTTAGAGTTGGTCCTAATGGGAGGACATTGGTTTATCAATGGTAAGCTTTTCATTTTTAATCAATAATCTCACAATTACAAATTGATTGAAAATAAAATTTTAAGAGTCCTGATTTGAGTAAATTTCCCCGATCTTTTTTTGTGTTGTTGAACTGAAAATGATATTTTTAAAATTGCTAATAAAATTAGCATTCCATTAGTTGTTGATTCTCTTACAGCTAGGATAACACATTTGTCTTTTGTTAGAATTAGTATTTGAATAGCTATAAATTCTATTTTTCTTGATTCTATTATCCTGGATGTTAAAGAAAAAGAAATTAGTTTACTTATGATTTATGAGTGGAAATAGATTCATTGCAAATAGTGTTCTACATTTACTCATGATCATACTTCTTATCTTAAATCTACAATCATCATCATTCTGTCATTATTCTTATTTTTTATAGAATGAGGAAAAGTAAATATAATGCTGGCTAAAGGCCCCAAATAAATAGAGTACATTTCTTCCTCTACCTACCCCTGCCATAATTGCAACATCCTAAACCCCGTACATGCACCAGACTTTAATATATCTGCAGATGTTTCTTCTAATAATTCTAAACTTTTTGATAAAATTGTAGAAGCATTCCTTGTCTTGCCAAATATTTTCATAAATGTTGAATCTTCTAAATTGAATGGAAATATTTCTCTGCGAGTCAATCTTCAGAATTTATCTACAGGTCGCTCACAAAGTAAGACGTCATCTAAAGCTATTTTAAAAGTTAAAAAATGTTATTCCTTTATGTTTTTTTAAAGACTAAGAAAGGGAGACTAAAATGGAGAAATCCCTGTAATTAATTTTGTTTTGCTATTATAACTTGATATTGTTACCATGGAAAATTTAATGGCTCAATAATAAAACACATATTGCCAATTGTATAAATATTTTTAAATATAATAAGTTTAATCTAATTTGTCATTTAAAAACTAAATATTATCTCTCTTATGTCTTTGGCAGTATTTCTCTTAACTATTTAAAAAAAAAAAATTAATGAGAATGCATTGATAATTTTAGTGTTGCTAATAATGATAGAATTTGAGTTAATGAAATGCTATTATCTTAATTTTTTTCTGTTTTAGATATTAATTGTCAATATATTGATGAACACATTTTCTATTCTTCCTTTAAAATTTATTTATTAATATTATTTATGCTAACAATAATGCTTAAAACGGATTTCAGAAAATTCTATTAGTTCCATTATTAAGAATACTTTTTTAATTGTATTGCAGGTTTGAAGAGAAAGTTGATATCCTTTGCAGGCTTATTGATTTTAATAATTCTATCATTTCGACAAGCTTTTTGGAGCTTCAAAATACAGGTTATTTGTATAGTTGGTTTAGTAACCAGTTAAATAACCCTATCAAATGATTATAAAACAGAATTTTATGTAATTCTGCTTCGTTACATTCTTTACTATTTTTTTTTTAGTTATGAACCCCTATTCTCCTATCAATATATGTTTGCTTAAGCAATATCATTAAATTACATTGTAGATATATGTATGAAATTATTTGAATCACGGTGCTAACTTTATTTTTGTTATTAATATTATTTCGAGCTACCCGATTAAATATGATCCTCTTTTTGCTCTTTATAAAAAACTAAAGAATGTTAAATATGATTTTAAAAGTTGGTAGTAGTCTTCTTCTAACTTCTTTTCTAATTTTATTGTTGAACTTAAGAGTAAGTAACATATATTACGTGTCAGCTTGAAAATAATCCACTTAGAAAAGATTTATTTGCCCTAACTTTTCCTAATCATAAGGATCTTATAAATGTATTACTTGTGAGTATAAATTGATTATACAAAACACCAAATATTGTCGACCCACTAAGGTGAAAATGATATCAATTTTCTTTATCAGTAAATTAAACTTGGACATAGTTCTAATTTTATTAAAGAGAATTTGGTTAATAACAGTTCTATTCATCATTTAAAATGATATTGCTAAAAAGGCTATTTCTTTTTATTCTAATCTGTTCAATATTTATGCTGACAATTTTCCTATTAATATCCAAACTTCTTGTGTTGATACTGTTATTTTACTCCTCCATTTCAGAAATATTAACATCACTTATGTTTTTCAATTCATATGTTTCGATAAAGCCCCTCGACCTGATAGTTTTATTTCTAAGTTTGTAAGAATACTTGACATATTACTGGGCGGACTTGTAATGACATTATCAAGTATTTTTTGCTGCTACTAAATTACATAATAGGATTAAACATTATGTTATTGTTATTATCCTTAAGAAGTTTGGTGTTACATTTTTTAATGATTTTAGACTTATTTCTCTTGGTAAAACTATTTATAAGATTATTTCTATTCTTTTTACTGAATCTTTTTTGTTTTTGTGGTCTGAGAAACCAATAAAGGTGTCTTTGATTCTTAATAGCATGGTTTCTAACCCTGGTTTGGTATGTTTTTATTCATGTTAATGACTTTTTTTTTTTTGTTAAGAC